TTTCAGGCACATGAATATCAGTGCATGATCTTTCATTAGTTAATTTTGTTGTTGATTTATCATTTCTAAATAAGGTGAATTGTCTGATGTATGCGATCAGTTATTGCCAACAGCAGCAGTGTGCACGTTTTCATTCAGTTGAAACACATGTCTAGACACATCCCAACATTGATTGTAGGGCAGATGTTGTTCGTTGTTGTATTATAAACCTTAAAATAAACAGGATGTTGTATATTAAATAAGTATTATTCTTTTTCACCAGCTGTTTTATAAACACATTCAATTTTGAGATTAGTTAATAATTGTTAATTATATAATTGTTGTGGTGGGCTGATTTCAGAAACCTTAGTAGTCTCCATGGTGAAGGAGAAGTGACAAAACTGCATCGAAAGCATCTTTGAGGGTGCATCATTTTCAGATAGCCATGTAGATCATTACATGGTCATTAGAATATTACTAGATTGTTTTCAACAACCAGAATCACCATACTAGAGATCTCATTGAACACACAGGATTTTTCTTGCATAAGGTTGCCTAATGTAGGTGTGAAGTAGCCTTGACGGCCAACAGTGGATGTGGAGCAGTTTAAACATTAAGATACACACAGCTGTAAACAGTACAGGCATCAACATAAAATTTAAATAACATGACATAAAAAAGATGCCAAAGATAATGCAGTATGGAGATACATCATACAGTATAACACAATACGGCATTTTTACGATTGACAGTGTGGGTATACCACAGAAGGTGGAAACTATAGGTCTTGCAAGGATCGGCAGACCAAACGACAAAAATATATGTAAAAACGAGAGTAAGTATTAAGTCATAACTGGAACAGTCAGTGGATATTGTTGCATTCCCCCATGTGTCTTCTTGGCGTAGTGCTTTATCAGTTAAGTACAGGGACGTTACCATTTTTTTAATTGGTTTTATGAAATTTTGTAAGGGTGGGGCAACATATTGTAAATTGTATACTGGGATGCAGCGAATGTTGACAGTATGCAAACCTGTAGGGCAGATGGGCATATGTGTTTTATTTAATGGCTGGGATTTGCGGTTTTCACAGCAGTCGTTATGCATATAGTTCTGTCTTCTGGGATATAATGCCATACAGTCCATTGAAAGACAGCCGACACTTAGGAGGGGCCTGATTGCCATCTGCTTTCTGCTTTCACACTGGATTCTTGCTCTGCTTATTTTTCTCGGGTAATGCTTACTACCGTTCAGTGCAGAACCTTTTGTCTTCTCGTCTGTTGTCCAAAAACATAAGAATTACAATATACAAAACTATAATTTTGCCTGTGGTTCTGTATGGGTGTGAAACTTGGTCTCTTGACTTTAAGGGAGGAACATAGACTGAGGGTGTTTGAGAACAGGGTGCAGAGGAGAATATTTGGATGGAAGAGAGATGAAGTGACAGGAGGTTGGAGAAAACTGCATAATGAGGAGCTTCATAACTTGTACTCTTCTCCAAGTATAATTAGAATGATCAAGTCGAGGATGAGGTGGGCAGGTCATGTAGCACGAATGGGGGAGATGAGGAATGCGTATAGGATATTGGTGGGAAAGCCAGAAGGAAAGAGACCACTGGGAAGACCAAGGCGTAGGTGGGTGAACAATATTAGAATGGAATGTTATGGATTGGATAGATCTGGCTCAGGATAGGGACCAGTGGAGGGCTCTTGTGAACACGGTGATGAACCTTCGGGTTCCATAAAATGCTGGGAAATTCTTGAGTAGCTGCAGAATTTGTGGCTCCTCCAGAAGGGCTCAGCTCCATGAGTAAGTAAGTAAGTAAGTAAGCAAGTAAGAAGATGGAGGCAGTGTATTCCTCTGAAACTTTGATCAACTTTCCAGCGCACTGCACGGCATTATATTGCTGAAGATAGAACCCTTCAAAATTATATCATATTGACTAATAGCCAGTTTCATAAGCATGTTTGTGTGCCAGCATATGGGACTGGAAAAAAATGTGTTTTCATGTCTGGATCAGGAAGGCAGACTTAATCGGTGCAAACCATCTGTACAGTAAAGAAAAGGGACCTTTTACAGAGCCACTACCCTTACCCTTGGGGCAGGTGTCAGTTGGTCAGTATGTTATGTTTGAAATAATATTGTGATATTCTAGTGACTAGGTGCAGGGTTTCAGTTGATTATTGATTTATGGAACACTTGCTCGTACTATATACTTTCTTTCCCTTTCTATTTCCTTGAGGCCAACCATTATTCTGGCTCATAGTGCAGAATTTGTGTATTGAGCAGTAGCCAGTGTGACTGGAAGATGACACCTTAGGAAGGCTGGCCTCTTTCTCAACGGAAAGGCTGAAGGATTGAGATGTTTGGGAAACCTGTGTCGAAGGTGCAGGGCAATAGGTGGAGGAGTAGGAAATGGAGACAGTTCCAGAAAAGGGGGCAAGATAAAATGTAACTGATGTAATATGTCTTGGGCAGACATAAGCATGTAAATCATAAAGGTTGAAATGACCTTTGTTTGATTAGAAAATTGACATTGTTCCATGCTGACCTGTAAACCCTCTTCTCTGTTGAAATTTTGGTGTAGACTGATTTTGATGGCTTCGCATTAGCAAAACAATCTCATTGTCACATAGTACGTGTGTGACTGTAGATGGGGTTTGGATTGGTGAATTGATTTGACTGCTTACAGGTCCTGCTACAAATAACTATAACACTGTCACTATCTCCACTATGTCTCCTGGCAATGGATTTTAATGCAGCAACTGTAACAGTCTCGCTGAATTACACACTCCAGGTATCACTGTACTTCAGCATACATAAATTCTTCTCTTCACAGCTTCCCATACAAAACTGAACTAGCTCCAAGGCTGGTGGCCATTTCACAACAACCTCGTAGTCTTCTGTCATGATAATTGACTTGTCTCGGTTATAATATCTCAGCACGAACCGCATGGGAAACACTGTTGCCATTGTTACCGTGGGAACTTGTTTACTAAGCACTTGCCTTGTGATAGCTGGGGTATTTGACACGATTACTGGCCATTACCAAGTGACATGTTCCATCTCGTGATCGTTGCATAGCAACAGCTATACACACTACAGCATCAACAGTTGATCAGTTATGGCAACAAAATTTGCGAGAGTTTCACCAGAAAAATCCATGTTTCAGGAGGCTAAAACAGTATGTTAGGATGTCAAAAATTCTGTAAAGAGAGCCTTTTCCTACTCATTGGCTTGGACTGGGATTCAGTTCTTTTCCCCCCACCCATAAGTTTGAATGACCACCATCCCCAACTGAGGAAGCAGGCTCCTCCAAACGTGGTTATCTGCCTTGAGACCACTCAATGTCAACCCAGAGGAACACTACCATGTTACTTATATGTATTTAAATAGAAAAGACAGTTTACATTCCAAGTTAATTTATTGTTTTATATACAAAATACATGTCACCCTGATATGAGTAAAAAAAAAAAAAGATAGGTGCAGAGAGAGACATCAGATGTTCTAATATATGCAGTGGGCCATTAGAGGGCATACTATTATTTCCCTGAAGATACCACCTGTTCAGTTTTATTTAAGGAGATGGTCTCCATGAACTGCTAAAATTTAATCAAAATTGTTTTTGATGTCATTAAGAAAATCACAGTTTTATGTTTGAGGTCCCTATTTTTGGAGCTAGAATGTTCACATTCACTGGATACTGACCTATAATGGGCGAACTCTTATTGAATATGAATAACATCTATCAGAGACATTCAAGGAACCACTCTCAAAATCTTGAGGTCAGTTTTTTTTTCCCCCACTGTCACAGCACTTGCTTATACTACATGTATGAGAAAGTGAAAGTACATTCTCGGCTTATCATTTTGTCATTGTTATAAAACGTAATGAAATCGCTAACATCTATATTATTAATTAATCTACCTCTTCTGACCTCGTATACCAGGTCCATCTAGCTATAGAAACTGCAGATTATTCCAGACCAAAAATACTTTGAGAATATCTTAGATAGGCTGTAATGCATGGTATCCTCATTGTATGGGATTACATTCCTGGGTCTGTTTGTCTGAACATGCCCCAGTGCAGCATATATGAATAGATGCTTTTCGAAACAGAGAGAATAGATTTTAATAGTTCTGGATGTTACTTTCTCTATCACAGGTCAAAATATTTCACACCAATGCCTATAGTAACCCATGAAGATTTAACAGTACAATTGAAAATTATGTAGAAAGTTTACTGTTGCCTGTAGTGTAATATTTTTCTGTACTTCTTTTTGACATAAATCTGTTAAGGATGTTCTAAATATTGCAAAAGAACCATTACAGCAACTCTGGCATCTTTATTTTATTTTGCAGACTTATAGACACATACTAGGTCCAAACATACCACCTAGACATGGAATTTCACTTTGTGGTTGTAAACTGTATTAAGTCACTGAATACAATTAACAGTAATTGCATACACATTTTATTGATGATGAATAAGTCTATTAACTGAAGAAGGCACAAGATGGTGCTCAAGTGTAGTATTTTCTATTACATTAATACTAGCACATGACCCACAAAACAAGACAAATAATGTCTTCTTTCCTTTAGCTCTTTCATATCTTTATATATGTCCCTCCTTCCTCTTCCTGTATGCTAGCCAAGGCACATCAGGTTCTTGAGATTCACAGGAGCTGGCTATTATTTACACACAGATGTTTCAGCAAAATTTTCACCCACGATAGTTTGTTTTTGGTGATGGTTTCTAGATTTATAGGAAATTTTACAGGTCTGGTTCATCTGAATTCATAATGGAGAATGTTCATTCTGTTGTGTCTTGCTGTCCAGACTTCATTATGGTCTTTTATGTCTCTGTTCTATGCCAGATGTTTAACCCTTTGAGTAATATGATGCCCCACTATAGTTCAGCCAGCCAAAGAATTCTCATGGGTGGTGGGGATAAGAGTTGCTAGGTGGGGAGGGCCATTCCCACATCCTACCATCCTACCCTGATTGCTGGCACTCCTTAGCTAACACTGTAGAATGAGTAATCTGGCCATAGAAGTGGAAGAGTGTGCAGAGAGTAGGGGGAGTGCAGGATGGAAGGGTAGACATGGTGGGGGATGATCCATGAGAAGTTTCTGCCTGACTGCACTACAGGTTGTGTTCCTCCTGTTTGAATTTGCAAATTGTTAAAATCGTCAGATACTGGATTGGAATGTGATTTTTTACTACATTCTGAGTTTTACAGAGGACTCCCTTAAAGGTTTATGTAACCACATGACAAACCACTGGGTCCAGTTTGAGGTTCATGTAATTTAAAAATTGTTGGTATTTTGTTATAGATTAGACTGGATCAAACAAATATGAAGACTAGGTGTGGTTGGATCTAGAGTTAAAATATCAATACCACACCGAAAGTAAATACTGTTAAGATTTACTGCACAGATCATTGCAGGATACCCTTATGGTTCATGTATTTGTGCGCTCGGCTAATGACACTTTCTCATCACGAACACGTTATGAAACCCAGCCTTGGAGAAATACCACAGAGAGCACGACACACATGGAGCTCAACAGCACTCTTGTTGCAGTTGACGGGTTGTTTTCGTGACTGTGAGAATATGGCTTGCTGGAGCATGATGTGCTGCAGTCTTCTCCTTCACAGATGTCACAGAGTGTGGCAACTCTGGGTTCGTAAAACACTCTGGCACGACGAGCTAAAACAGAAGCACACGTTTGGAAACTTGTGACAAGACTAATGTGGAAAGAATATGGGTGTGCATTTTGATTTACTCACATGAGTCGTAGTAATCATAGATAGTGACTGGAACTGGCTTCTGCTTGGCCACTTTGTGCGTTCTAAATGCCGAAACTGTAGGGCAGTATTCCTGTCTTGTCATCTGAAACAGGTGGTACACACACTAAGTCATATAAGCATTGGGCTGAACAGACAGAAATATATCACAATAAAGTGATCTCAATGTATCTGATACTGGCATTCTAAATAGTTTGGGCAAATTCTATGAAATTGTGAAATTCTGATTTTGCTTGATTTAGGACATTCTGTATGGGGTGTAGTAAATATATCAAATCCCAAGATGTGTGTCTGCCCCTAATATCCCTCAATACATTCACCACCATGGCAGGCACCAATGTCCACTCCAGACCTCATGCCATGGCAGTTACTGGTGTCCATTTTGTAATGCTTTGATATGATTTTATGCCCTCCATGTGTCTGCTGGTTGCACGCAGTTTCTAAGGAGTGTATCCATTATGGTGTATGGGCAACACTCATTTACATCTGTGACACTTCACAATAATGTAAAAACAACATATATCTCATCATGTGCCCTGGAACAAAAGTATGAAAAAAGAAGTTCTGGGAACTAATTGCCTACACTATATCAAACAGTTCTATTGTTGCATGTGTATTTGTTCCCACAGGAATGTGTTTACCGAGCCGTTGCCTAGCGACGGCCGTCTCTTCTGGTTTCACTATTGCAGCTATCAGGCATTGGAGGGGGAGAACATGGACAACAGGGTGATCTCACAAGCCTCCTTTAATTTTTTTCAAAATAAGGAAAGCAAGCTAAAAATCACACTTGTAGTCAACATATTAAACTGCTGTAGAATGAAACAGGGTGGAAGGACCATAACCTCTGAAAGACTAGCGCACGTGAGAGGCAAACTTGACATCCAGAAATATGATTCTGATAGGCAGGTAGGTCTATATACAATTACAGGCAAACCTATCTGAACCACAAGGTAAAACTATATTAATGTTGCCCTATTTGTGAGGGAAATGTGATTTGTATCTTCTTCTCAACACTTCCATTTTGTAAGTTCACATTTACACTATGGAGTGCCTTGTATAGCATGAACAGCTGGATAACAAGGATGTGTGCACTTTAGTTACCAAAAAGAATACATTTCTACGTTTGATAAACTACAGCAAGATGTTGACACTAGCAGCAGATGGTGCACCTGTGGAATGCAAAGGCATTCAATGTAATGTGGAAAGAAAATGGGTGAGATTAGCACTGCAACTGACATCCGAGTATAAGAGCATTTGTGATTACTTTGGTTTAGTACACTTTTCGAATAACTTTTACAGGCCCATATGAAGACCTCTGTGGTCTAGTGGTCAGGGTTCCTGGCTGCAGATCCAGAGGTCCCAGGTTCGATTACCGGCACTACCAGATTTTCTGATACGTAGTAGGTCTGGAACAGGGCCCACTCAGCCTCGTGAGGATAATTGAGGAGCTATTTCAAGGAAATGGCGGCTCCAGTCTAGTTTGCTTGTGGACTAGAACCATGGAGTTTGTCTGTCATATGAAAGTGTGCCATGTGTATTAATCATGTGATGCCCTTGAGGTAGGCTTGTGTGAACGGCAACTTGTTTCTGTTTCTTTATGATCACAGTTCTTTGTGCATGCATCCCTTATTCCTATCCCCTGGCTCCAAGTGTGAGAATCACTGCCTGTGTAGCGTGCAACTAAGAAGGATCTTTTCCAAATTATCACCTGGTTCTTATTTCTAAAATAGTTTTGGGCTTAACTACTTTCTTCTTCCCGTGGGCAGTCACCTGAGTTATATAACTCAGTTATATATATCTGAGTATATAACTGAGTTATTGTATACTTAAGCAACACCTATTTCTGTCTTAAACATATGCTACAACATATTTTGGTTGTACATATACAGCCATCATCAGGTATACGTGAGTCCTACTAAAATTGGATATTATGTGTATTATTAAGTCTGTGTGTCTAGTTATCTATGTTGTGTTGCATATTATGTGTGCTGTGGTGGCTTATCTGGATACAACTCTGTGTTGAGTTGGTTGCACTATTGTGCTGTCTAGGTGTGGAGAACACAGCACAGCAATACAACAAACCCAATAGGGAGTTCCATCTAGAGGGTAAATATTTTTGACAAACTCACAGTCAAGTTGCAGGGGATAACAGACTATTTCAATTACTATGCAATTTCACACTTCTGTCATACACTGTGGAGTGATTTAAACGCTGATTGGTACCTTGTCAAAGTACAGCATTATGACTGTGTCGCCATTCTTTGTTTCCACTCGCTTCACGTTCTGAGACATCCGTAAACTTGGCAAAGCATCAGAGTCTACAGTGAAACCAGATGGCAGTGTGACCTCCATTACAGCCATGTTGCTCTCATTGACTCCTTGTGCCCCAATAAACCTAGAGCAAGAAGCAGTCAGCAAAGGAATGAATCAGTCATGATACTTTCAAGCCGTGCATCGTAACGACAGTCAACAGGGTATGGTGACATAAAATAAAACCAGCTTTTTCAATTAATTTTGATGTGCCGATTCCAAATCTGGACACACATATTTTCCATCATGTCACAATTTTGTGTATTTAATTACGAATCTAAATGAATACATTCTTTTTTTACTTTTGTATTTTGTCAATCACAATGTAAGAAAATGATATTTTACTACTAATAAGAGTTTATTCTTGTTTAAAGAACACCATTATTTCATACTGCATCATAAATAGTATGTTAGTTCTGCATATGGAAACAGTAGAACAAAACAAAACAAAACAGAAGTGGTTAGAGCTTTTTGACTCTTATTTTTGTGACCAACATATTCAACAGCTGCTAATTTCATACATGTTCCTGAATAAAGTGAAAATTTATCATCCAGTATAATAAATGTGCCCAGGTGTTTACCCTGTCAGACTTTGAAGCCATAAAGCTATTAAGATTTACAGTAATATATATGAAGTCTGGGGCCTAGAAACATGTCCCTCATAAGCAAATACCAGAAGCAGAATTTTGCTTTTTCGCTCTGCCCTTCCAGAACTATGCTAGGACTGTATCTTAAATTGTCCACATCTGCATCTACCCTATCTCATACAGCAGCTGATACATTACAGAGCAAGCCAACAAGATTGGAAAGTATGTACTGTACAATGATTACACAGAACTAACAACAGCTTTCTCTGCAGGTTATTCAGCTTATTTGTGGCTGGCCAGTTTATGACGGTATTTCCGTTTCCTTTCTTTTGTTTGGTTGGTATCTATACTACATAGTGTTAAATGGGAGGATGAGTGATGAATGATCAACACGAAAGGATGTGGAACAGAGCAGTTATGGCCTGACTGAGATACTACCCTGGATAGAGTGAGGAAAACCATGAACATTTTCAGTTGGGATAGCTTGTGTTCTGGCTGAAATTCAAACCACACATCTCCTGAATATAAGTCAGCAAAACAAAACAGAATTCATGTTTCAACAGCATAATAATATAAAATCCATGAAAAAGAATATGGGATGCAAGGATAATTCCACTTATGGCCATACATGAAATAGGCTTTATGACCATCAGTATGGCTAAAAATCATAATGGCTGACTAATGTTCAGAACTACTAGGCTTATTTTGGACTCTATCCATAATCTGGTATATAGAATGCATAAAACCACAACGTTTTGGAGGCTGGATCTGTCTCCGTCCTCAGGTGGATGGGTCAGGATAAACCTACTGAATTGGGCCCGTTAGAAAGAGCTAGTCTATATACCAGACCATGGATAGAGTCCAAATAAGCCTAATAGTTCCGTACAGCATACACCATCATCAGAATCCTTTCAAGTCTATCTGACTAATGTTATCCATTGATCTCTGATACTGAATTTCACCAAAATTTAATTGTTTATGATATACATAAAAAATTAATTTATTACATAAAGTATGCTTTGTTCTGGATCAGTATGGCTTGGATTTCCTGACAACTTCAGGGAATGCTTCCTATGTCAAATTTAAAAGATCTTCCTAAAGGTTAGGCATTTGTATTAGGTTGCAGACAAATGAACAGACATACGCTTTACATAAGGCATTTTCCTTTGGGGGGGGGGGGNATAACCGGTGCATATAGAAAAATGCATTCAACTTTCAATCGAGGACTTATTTAAGGCTTGAATGAATGAATGTATAAGGGGTGGGCCTTGGTCCTTGCTCCACGACCTACAGTGGTCTATTGTGCTTCTATTTAAGGCTTCTTTTGGGACCAGTCAATTTGATCACTAAACTGCAGAAAATCTTAAATGGAGGTAATATGACACTGAATTCTCTGAATCACTGAAATTCAACATTGAATTGGGAGTTCCACTATATTATTAACAGTTGTTGTGTCTTGGATGGTACATTATTAATGAATGGTATGGTGATAATGCTCTACATTTATGCTTGGGAGGCACAGAGTTCAGTTCTTGACAAGCTTTCCAAACTGATTTTCCTCAGTCTCTCTGGGAGAATGCCTGGACAGTGCTTTCAAAACAGGCCACATCTGTCACCTTCCAGTCATCCAGTATCTTTACTTTATTTAAAAATGCTTTCAGAAACCCAGTATAGGTAGCGTTATGTGATGGATAAATAAATTGGAAAGTATGTGGGAAGAAGTGATCATGGTTTAATTTAAGGCGCCTGTCTGGATGGACTGAGGTAAACAGTGAAAGAATCAGACAATTGTGTGTTCTGGCCAAGGTTCAAACCAGACACCTCTTCAGATGTCAGATGTTTTAATCTTGAACCAACTTGCTTTGTTCTTTCTCTGTATTATTTGATGCTACTGACTTCTGAATTTGAAAAATAAGTCCAGAATCACTTGCTGTTGTGTTGATCACAAACCTGTGCTTCATTCACAAAGTCTGTGGAGCAGATATAAACATGAACGAGGCATCAGGTGCAACAAAATGGGAACTTACTTGATAATGAGCTAGTCTTTTTAGCAAAGAAGTTATGAAATTCTGCCACTTCAATTTCATGACTGAGTGCTGTATGATTCTCCTATCTCTGGCCATGTGGTATTGTCATGCAAAGTATGACAGAGATATGATATTGTCTTTGGTATTGGCAGTAATATTTGTTCTGAAAAAAATAACTCACCTCACTCCACTCACACTCTTGAAGTGGCTGTGCCAATTCTGAATATATAGCATCATTATATGTACCACCAATTTTAAGAAGGTAAATATATAGATGCAGAACTGAATTAATAGATTAATAATTCATTATCCCACACAACATTTAGTAAATACAGTTAAATATGAAATGGATAAAACTTAACTGTGAGATTACTGAAAATGAATGTTAAATAAGAGAAACCATGAGGAACGTGAAATGGGAGTTTCACTGTATTTTTGTGACGAATGGGACCTTGGTGTACATATCCCCACCTTTCCCCAGCTGGTAGAGCTACAGAAAGGATAATCAGGGCATACCAACAACTGTCCTAATAACAATAAAACACTACTGTGCTACTTTGCTGAAAGTGAGCCAGATTCAGTGTGAAATGCTGTAATATGCATGCAGAATGCACATAAGTTCTTACCCAGAACATATTGATAGCTGTAGATGGTTTCTATCCGAGTTCTTATCTACTTGTGGATCAAGTGTGAACAGTGGCCAAGCTCCAGTCACGTTCAAATTGTAGCGATATGACACCTGAACAACTGCAAAACCCGATCCAGATGCTGATATATCAATTTTTCTGACCTTTCCAGGAAGCTGAAAATATAATTTATGCAATAGAATGTACACAGAATCTCACATGCAAAATTTTAAAATTCACGTTTTTTTTTATTCTCTAATTATTTTTCACACCACTGGTGCACTACATGTTTCGACCAATATGGTCATCATCAGGTGCTTGGAAAATTACTGTTCAAAACTGCTGTACCTTTGTCGATGGATACGATTCCAAAGTATACCCTCATTTAAGCACATACATGCTGAGCGTTTGTAGTTCTGGATGATTGCTCTTATGTGTCGAGTGAAGCTGCAGTTTTCAATGGCAATTTTCAAAGCACCTGATGATAACCATATCAGCTGAAATGTATAGTGCACCAGTGATGTGAAGAATAATTTAAAATTTAAAAACATAGAGACAGTGAATAAGAAGAGAAAATACAATAGAATATGTTAGTGCAATTTGGATGGATGCAGGAAATTTCTCTTTGAGATGCTGGAACTACGGTTTATTTGTGCTGGCCCAGACAGCATCTGTTGTTGTGCACTCTGTCAATACACCACTAATCACTCATCAAATTAACAACAGTGTACTGAAACAGCAACAGTGTCACATGTGTGGACTTGTCAGACAAGTTCTGTCAACTTTCAAGTAAGCAGTGTGTGTCAACATTAGAGCACAAAAGGAGTCAGAATAGTGATGGGCTATGGGTTGGAGAGCCTGGGATCGATTCCCAGCTCGGGCAAGGAAAGTTTCTCTTCTCCACAGTGTCCAGACTGGCCCTGGGACCAACCCAGTCTCCTTATCTAATGGGTAGCGGGTCTTTTTCCTTTGGGGTCAAGCTGAACACTCCCTTTAGCACCAATATCAAGAATGATGGAACCATACCTCCAACCCCACTTATGCCTTCATAGTGTGGTGTTTAATTAATTAAGCACAGGAACAACTTTACCTTTATTTTTACCTTCATTAAAACATGGTATCCGTTGACAATCAACATGATCGCTGTTATTTATTACATATTTTATGTGCTTGCCTGTTACAGGTCACTGCTGTTGGTGAGCACTAATATATTGTAGCGTGTTTTGTGTGTCGCGCTATAAATAAATTCCCGTGGGTCTCAGATTCTTCACTTATACACTCACACGCTTTACAATTGTCATCACTTGCANTGCTATAAATAAATTCCCGTGGGTCTCAGATTCTGTAGAACCTTTATTGTTCTTCACTTATACACTCACATGCTTTACAATTGTCATCACTTGCAGTGTTACAATTACTGCTTACAATAACTCGGCCAACACTGGACTGTCCTCTCTGGCGGTTGTTCCAAGACTTGATTCTTAGACGGCTGCTATCCCAAGACTGACTGTGCGAATGCATTCAACCCCGCTATATAACCTTGGTCGCTGCTATGCAATGAACCCTCTGTTATAGCAGTGGAAACGTTGCTTTGTTGGTTCCACGTTTCCTACGCAATGACCCATTGTATTTGCGTTGTCTCTGCGGGAATGCTTCGCGTATTCATCGTAACCGTGGAGATTCGATGTTCTCTACACAACGGCTCACTGTTGGGATTACAGTGCCGCTATTGTTACTTCCTATGCAACGGTCTACTCTAGCGTTTCCATAGAAGTTACTCTTCTGGATTGCCGACACGTTACAATATGTACTGAATTATTGTCATTATGCTTGAGGTTATTCTATCGACTGTCTTTCCAGCACTTTTCATTTTCATGGCAAGTGTATTCACTAAGTTTAAGAATGAAACCCGTCACTCAAGAGCTATAATGCACGAGAGTGAATCGGTGGAAGGATCATATGTGAAAACTACAGCTAGTGTGTACAGCTAGCAAAGTGCCTACTGTCCTACTTCATTTTCTTCCATTATATGTATACAGTGGCCATCTTGTAGTGCACTCAATTTCACCTGTTACTTCACGACATGTTTCGGCAACATAGTGCCATCATCAGGTGCCCTAATTACGCTAATCTGTTTCATTGCTTGCCTTTATAAAATTATTTAAAAAGTGCGTATTTGTCAACTATAATAAATTTACACACACTAAAACTTGTTAAGATTATTCATCTTATGTGTCATAATTAAAACTTGCGTGTGGTTCTTCCACTATGGGGGTCGTTTTTCTTATATTCTGTGTAAACCTGCAATGTGAAAAAGGTACTTATTATTATTACTTTTGGCTTCTATTTGTTATGTGTTGTATTATAATGTTTAGTACTCACCGTGTCTTGTGATGTGTGTTCCCTTCTTAGCTGCGAGTGTTGTAATGTTGGATGTGTGTGTGCCTTCATATTGATTGAGTTATGGCCTGGTAGGGGTAGGTGGTGGGGTTGTGTTATGTTGTTCTGTGTAAATTGTGTGTAATTCCTGAAATATTGGGTTATACATTTCCTTATTTATATTGTTCATATGTGCGTTTTTCTTTGTTGTTCTGTATATATGATAGTTTTCTAATGTGTTTAAATATTGTCCTTGCTTATTCGTTGCTATGATATCCATAGTATTTTCTATTGTACCATATGCATGTCCTGTGTTTAATATGTGTTCCGAGTATCCTGTAGTGCTGTTATTGTGTCTTATGTCATGTATGTGTTCTTTATATCTGGTATTAAATTTTCTCCCAGTTTGTCCTATATATTCCATGGGGCAATCTAGGCATTTCATTCTGTATATGCCCCTTCATTTTCAACAGGCATTTTGCTAGTTAAAATTTATTTCTGAATGAGCTTTGATGTTTTCATAGCAGTGGAAATTAAAGATTCCATCTTCATTTCTACCCTGAAGACTGAGGCTGCTGCTTCCTCTGAAACCCTGGGATTACCTTTGATATCATAACCTAGAAGACCACATTCTTAAGAATTTTATTTTTAAGCTTCATACTCAATTACTACATCATCTGTCATGACTAACAGAACACTAAAGCCATATATTAATAATCCATACCCACTATACTGTAGCCATACAGGTCCGTGGATCGTACCTGGGTACGGAAGGCTGTACTTCTTGGTTGTCTATCTTTTTGGATTTTCTCCGCAAAGCTCACCTGTACACCCCTCAAATTCGGACTTGTAATCAATGGTACATCCCTGTTTTCTTCTTCTTGTTTTTGTCAACAGAGGCACAAGGTGGCAGCTCCTCGAAGGGCCCCTTTTACACCCGGACTTGTAAAGGGGAAAAGTGTCCTGATTGTTAAGGGAACACTGGCTATGTGGTCAACAGGGAAGTTGCCTCACTGACAATGGCCAATTAGAAGCTGTTAATTTGACAGCTTTGTTTTCAAATCTTCAAAGAGGAACATTTCAACTTAACACTCATGATGCTACATAGTCTCAGCCTGGGCTTCAAGCAAGGTGGATACATCCTCCCACACCAGTGTACACAGACAGTCGTAACCTGACCTCCCTGTTGTTACATATATTTTTTTTTCCTTGGCACTACAGCCCCAGTGGGCCTAGGCCTACCTCCATGAACTACGTTCACTTCGGTTTTTCTAGATCTTACACGTACGGTAGGACTCCTTGGGTGAGTGATCAGCTTGTCGCAAGGCCTCTACCTGTAGACAAACACAGAAAAACACACACAGATATCCATGCCCTGAGTGGGATTCGAACCCACAATCTTGGCTTCTGAGCGAGCGAAGACAGTGGATGCCTTAGACCGCTCGGCTACCGTGACCGGCTGTTACATATATAGATAAAACACATATTATAGTATTTCATTGGGATGGCAGAAACTGCCATGCTCCTCCCTCCCTTATCTCAATCGTTATAAAACGGCAATAAATTAAAAATGTCTAATACTTTCTGGCAGACCCTGTATGAAGGGCTGCATTTTAAATGCTGACAGGGCTCCGAGATATAATGTTTAAGGACCTCCAAAATATTGTATATAATACCATATATGATGTACATATGTCAGTAACATAGTAATGTTTTAGGTAAAGGTAAAACTTCCCCTATTCTTAATCAAACTTCATGCCATGATGAATAGGAAGTAGAGGGACAGCTTCATGGATTCATCATTTTGGCACTTAACTGAAGTGAGTTATCAGCTGCCAGAGCCAGGTTGAACCCTGTGGAGACGAATCTTTTGCACGTGCTGAGAACCAAACCCCACTTCTTCAGTCAGCCATAGCCTAATCACTGTACTTACAGAGCTATGCTGGCATACTGGTGTAGGTAGCAATACATTTTACATTATCACCATACTATTACATGGTGAATATCTTATGTGGGGATAAGTTTTATTCATATAACCACAGCATTACAGCATTTCAACATCTTACGTACATACCTCATGTTTTTGCACAATCATGGAGTTCGCTCTGTTAATCTTGAAGTAGGTAGGACTGCCACCAGGGTATAAGAAGGACACGGAAATGTCCACTGACATAGATGAAACTCTCTCCGCAAGCTTGGCCAGTGCTTGAAGCCCAATCACAGTGTCCTGTACAAGAGAAATCCATACACAAATATCTTCATATACAACATGGTAACTACCATATTTCGGTTTTAAATAAGGTTTTCTATATATCAGTTAAGTCTTAGGGTTTATGATGATGGTATGTAACAGTAGCTATGACTTTTGTTCCACATATTGCATTTTGCCGTGAGTTTCTTCAAGATACACAACAAAACTTGAGACAACGGACACTGTCCAAAATGACAGTCACAAATTCAGTCCTCAATGCAACTATTTTCATGTTCACACACAACTCTTAACAACAATATCATACACAGGGGCAGGGACAAACATATGAATAGGAACAAATGATAACACAAAGAAAGGGCTTACGAACAGAAGCAACACACGAACGCCAAGCCACAGCAGTAGAACTATATCATTTGGACAAGCGGATTACACCCCAAATAGAGGTGCAAGAATTATATAATTTTAAGAAATTTTATGAAATTTCAAACCAAATTTAAATTAGAAAGAGTGAAATTAATCAATGTAAATAAATATCAAGTGTACATGAAGTAAATTAAACAAGAGATATCACATTTTCACATGTATAAATATGTGAACATTTTATACAGTGCAACAGTTTTGGCATAGACAAAACACATGATGATGGCTGTTTGAGGCCGAAACATGTCATAAGGAGGAGAAATAAAAGTTCAAATAGTTGCACTGAGGACTGAATATACTGTGCATGAAAGACACATAAATGCAACAGGATGCTTAAAATATAATATAACAGTCATAAAACTATTTTCAGGAAATAGGTGTTCTCCCTTCTCCACATATATTGAAAGTGAAGAAGCCTGAATATTTTAAGCTGAAAAAGGAATGTGGGTTCAACATCATTAGGTATTCTTTCAAATTCTACTAATATACAGCAGGATGGTATACCTTTCTGAAACACGTGTCCAAATACTGTATCCAGATAAACTTTCAATATAAAATTAACAGCAGTTTAGGCCAAAGTATTGCATAAAATAATTATACATATTACTGACAGATAGAGAAAGGGAAAGAGTGGTGTCCAAATCAGTTTTATTGAGTACCTTGCTGTGCAAAGCATCACGGTACAGCATGGCAGGTACTCTCCTAACATAAAACACTGACTCAAAAGCTCCTTTACCCAGTACTGCTGGATAAGTTACTGGATGTCTAAAACATCTTCAAGGATCTGTCACCATCAGATAATGATGTAATTGGAAAAATATCAGATTTTGTTTTCAACGTACAATAAGAACCAAACTCACCATGCCAGATATCTCTCACTGAACGTGTAGGATATTTCTTCCATAATGCTGCCTATTCAAGGTATGGTATATTCTCAAAGAGCACTGTCACATGCATTAGTGACCTGTAGGGGGGAATCTGATTTGTTGGATACTTGCAAGTCATAACTCCAATTAATTATAACACTCTGAAGATTACTGTAACTATAATACACAAAGTCTTCAACGTCTGCTTCCTTAGTTGTTGCTTGGTAACAATATAGATCACCAAGTCGGACAGTTGATTGTCCTCTGTTATTCTGTTTCATCCGTTGCCATGAAAATGTGTGACAATCTCTGGGCAAAACTTTCATTCACACAGGTGTATTCGTTTCCACAGAAAAGTGTTTCAGCTAGCCGTTGTCTAGCAATGGACGTCTAGCTCTGGCTCCACTATTCCGGCTTTCAGGTGTCATGTCACAATATTNCGACAATCTCTGGGCAACACTTTCATTCACACAGGTGTGTTCGTTTCCACAGAAGTGTTTCAGCTAGCCGTTGTCTAGCAATGGACGTCTGGCTCTGGCTCCACTATTCCGGCTTTCAGGTGTCATGTCACAATATTTTATATGAACTTTATATAGGTGTTTGGCTAGAACTTTGGTCTCATGGACTGACTTCTAACTCAGCGAAGTATAGAATCCCAGCACCACATTATTAAGGAACTCCAAAACACACACATCATGAAAGTCCCAGAAGACACAGAGAACAGCATGCTGAGAAGGAAAAAAGTAACTGACAACATGGTGATAGGTTAAAGTAGGGGTGGGTAACCACACAGTTTGGCTGTGCCCTCCTACTTTGTAATACACCTACCCGAAAAGCCATTGATTTGACAAACCTGATGATAGAGACCAAGGACATCTCTGAAACACTGGTTTTCAGTTCAGTTTTAACAAGTTGATCACCCAAGAAGATTTGAGCTTAATGACAGGCTTTTTTATCAACAGTGTTGAACATTTAGATTGTTATGGAAATGTTAATTATAACACTGTATTGTAATTTTCTAGTCTTGTTACTCTGTAAGCTTTATGTTGTGTTCACAACTGCATGGCATGTGTTTACCTGGGTTGAAGCAAACCCTCCTTGTTCATTTCGCTGTGTTATCAGCCACTTCATGACTGGGAGGGCGTCTTGTACAAGACCACGTTGTAGGTACGTCAGTAAGCCATATGCTGTCATTTCCACATCGACAGAGTTGGGCAGGCCATACCAAGGATTCTTCTGATCATCCACACCAATTGGTTTCCTCCACCATTTCAGGTCACCTGAAAATTAAACGTTAACAAAATGTGAACTGATATGTTCTGGTACATGTTCAAGTGGACTGGCTGGTAAAAAAATCATATGCAAATAAAAACTGTTGTTGCCATTTCACTTAGCAAACAAAGATATGTTGATAAAGAAATGTTGACTTCAGTCATTTGCAGTATCTGCAAACAGATCTTTAACATCAATTTGTGTAAATTAAATTTTTTACTTTTTACTATGAGATGATAAAGAAGAAAATTTAACCTCTGCATACAAAACACTGATCATACTCTGACCTTGTCAGCTATGAAGGTTATGTTTCAGAAGATGTTGTGAATGGAAAGAACATGATTCATGATCTTAAAAAATTTTGAATTAATATTATGTCTCTTTTGCAGATGGCACCATTTTTCAAACTTGCTTCACAACAAATTAAACATGAGAAAGATGCCTAGTATGTAACAGAAATAGTTTGGTGTGAAACAGAACATAAAAGACATTCAAAACAATGCTTAAAACTGCAGACATGTATATTCTTTGGTTCATCATTATTAGTTATAAATGAAAAGATAATATTAACAAGCTGACTGCTACCGTGATTTCTTATATTTTTTGTCCCAGACCAAATAATGAGACACACATCATTTATACATTAATGTGAATTACCACCAATGCTGATGTGTGTCAGAGTATGAACAAGTCATAGCAAACACATGTGATTAAAGACCTATATGCTACAAAGAGACACATGACATGCAAATATATTGAAGTATTACAAAGCAAAACCCGTGCTCCCTTTCATGACAGCGGAGCAAATATTCTGTCAGTGTGCCATGCATTGCACACTATAAAACTGCTGGTCCCACCGCGCTCTCAGACAACAGCTCATGTATGTGTTTCCATCTCACAAACAGAATTTAAATGACATGCACTCTGCTTGCATGTTCTTTGAGATGAAGGCTGAAACCATCTTTTGGTGTGTGTACTGACCAGATTTGTCAATTTATCTTTCAGCAAATGATCTTGGAATTATCAATTAAAAAACGCCTGCTATCAGACATGGCACTGACTTGTATGTGTTTATCAAACGCAAATGCAAATAATGAGAGCACTCTGAATTCCGATTCTGAAAAAAATAACAGAGGTGTTACTAATTTTAATGTCAGTGTTATTCTGCATACCTAAATTTGAATTCCCAGTTCTCCATAGGAAAATCTTCCCCCAGCAAGTTAGAGGACCAGGTACAAAATCCCCCAATGCAGCTAGGTTACAAGCAACACACTACCTACCAGAGGACTGGGCTTTGCTCTCAAACAGATTGAAGACTTTGTCCTTTGCTGCATGTTGAGCAAGATGAAGAGCATAGTTTGAAACAGCAAGGGCATAAATGTCATCCAGCCCTTCCAAGTTTCTAACAATGTAGTCTAGTGCCTTGTTGATGGTATTGCGGTAAAGTTGAGCTGATGACTGCTGAAACAAACAGACATAATATTTATCTACATTTATATCTTCACTTTCAGTGCTTCATCTCCTCCCCTTCATGTTTACTCCAATGTAAGAGGCTTCATAACAAAATATGGTGGTTCTACCATAGTTCAGTTCATCTCCTCACAATCTATTACCCTCAGATTTATTTTAATAAGGGGGAAGGTCAACATTAATGGCAAGTTTGTTTCTGACAACAGCTGACACAGCAATGATGACTGAAGCATAGGTACCTTTCACTACAGCCTGGCAGTCCAATCCATAGTTGCTAACAATAACTTCTGAATAACAAGAGAGTCAGGACAGCATGGCAAGTCGTTTACTCTTATATGATGTTCACTAATATATATAAAATGCTAAGTTAATACCAAGCATTTGACAGTAAAATGATACTGAAGTAGAGTCTGCAGGTCTCTATCTCTTTACACACCTGGTTTTCAAGAAAGGCGATCATTGTATACGCTGTCAGAGCTAGTCCCTTAGCTGCCCCACCCTGCATGTCCTGATGGATCACTTTTCCCACCTCAGAAAAGCTTCCATTTGCTGCCTGATTCATGGACAACCAACGTAAAGCTTCTTGGATTATGCTGTCCTCAATATTAACATATGGCATTGCTTGTTGGAAGGACTTGACGACAAATGCAGTCAGCCTGAAAAGAAAAAAAAATTGGCTGCTGGTACAGAGCATTAAAAATACCTCTCAATTTTTTCAACTGAGTAACAAACTGTCACTTTGATGGAATTTATATTTGTCCCCTATTTATCAGAGAATTTATTTTCTGCCATTTTACATAGAGAAATAAATTAAATTAAATTATGGCTTTTGGAAGAATGGAGCCAATTAGAAGCAAGGTATGCATAAATGATACGATACTGGAACAAGTTATTGCTTTAATTATTTGCTATATAATGCATCTCATGAAGGAAAAAAGTTTTGAAAGTAAAAACTGAAAACCTGTCAAAACACTGAGAAATAAAAGGCAGCTCTTAGAACCATCTTTAGTTTTTAGGTATATAAACATACAAATTTATAGGACACTTACTAGACCATCATTATATTATGGAGATAATCATGGACAATAAGAACTAATGAGAGATGACTGACATCAGCAGAAATGTGTTTTATGAGAACTGCATACACCCTTTTGAATAGTATGAGGAATGTAGAAACTCAAAGAGAATTACAAACTCCACAAATAACGGAATTTATATAACAATACAGATGAGACTGCACAGAAAACGACAGATTTCCAATATAAAACAATACAGAAGAGACTGCATAGAAAATGAAAGATTTCCAAAAAAGATTTTATAATATCAACCAGAAAGTAAAAGAAGTTTGGGAAGACTTCTGATACAGTGGAGGAATTTTGTTTTATAATATCAATGAATATCATACAATTTAAATTCTGACATACATAATATAAATATGAGGCAAAAACTCAACTTCCACCAACATTCAGCAAATCTATCTCTATATATAAAAAAAAAAGTTCACTCCTTTGGAATCAAAGAGTTCAATAACCTCCCTCAAAGTCTAAAAAAAAAAAAAAGCAACTGGTAATATTAAGAAATTTAAAACAGCACTGAAATGTTACTTACTCACTCACTCTTTCTACTCCATATACAAATATTTCAAGGCCAACAAACAGTACCTAGTATCAACTCTAAGCTGAAGTGTATTCCCAAGTATGTTACTGTATCATTCTGTTTATCTGCAGACTGTGCTACATGTGTCCAATTAGCATGGTAATATTAATACTGTTTATAATCTTATTAACTTTTCAAGCAAGACTATTACTGTACAAATATTATGTGTTTGTACTTGCCTTGTTCCATATTCTATGGTGGCCAACCTGTACTTGGAGTTACTGAATGTAAATACAAGGGTTGGATAAAAAGTAGTGGCAACACTGCTATAACATGAAAGATGCCATACTCACCTGATAGGAGTCCGTGCGATTATGATATCTTTGCCAAAATGAAAGAACCACTGCGGGGGACACGTTACAACACAAGAGAGGAGATTATTCGTGCTGTAGGGCGGTCACTGCTGGACATCAACAGAAGTGGAGGCACTGATGGTGTACGATGCCTTCCACAAATTTGGCAGAAGGTGGAACACATGGGGGGCAATTATATTGAAGGAACGTAAGTGTATTTACCTCAGGCAATAAAGTCATTTCAGAACTATAGAGGTGTTACCACTACTTTTTATCTGACCTATGTAAATTCAAATTAAAATTCAAGTACATTACTGTCTTCTGGGGTATGATGCCATGTAGTCTGGTGGCTGTTTACTGATGTTTCAGAGGAACATCCTGCCTCCAACTTCAAGGCAGAGACATACTTCAGAGAGATTCTTATTCTGGCACTTGCTGTTTTCTGCCATCTTATAATGCCATGTTTTTTGAGTTTTGTGATGATCGTGCAGGTATCTCAAAACTTGACAAACATTGTGTGATAAGACACGGAGAAGACTTAAGTGACAACAAAATACAACAGGATCCTGAAATAGAATATACTAGGGCACACTTCAAGAGCACACAAGCACAGAGTGGAGGCAAGCAGAGGAATGTTTGAATGTAGTGCCACAAACCATGTACTGCCACTGTCGTCCTTGCTTCCAAAGGCACTGAAGGATCCATCTGAGTGACGATATGTTAATTCTTGTTGATAACCTCTTTCCATGTATCCCAGTGCTGTACCTTCAACAGCTGCAGTCAGTTGGTTTGTGTTCTGTGAAGAAACCAATGAAGGTTGATTAATACCTAAGAAATCTTATATGTGACAGGACATTATAGATTATTAATATGGATATGACATACATGTTTTAATATTGTATGGGTATGAAACTTGATCTCTCATGTTAAGGTAAGAACAAAGAATGAGGATGTTCAAGGACGTGGCACAGAGGAAATTATTTAAAACATCTATGTATAACACAGTCCATCTGTGCTAGGGGAAACAACACACAAGCAAGGGGCATATGAGTATAACGTAAACAAACATAACATAACACTAATAACAACAATCAAAAAACAATATTAACATTTGGCATTTTGTAGATTACAGATTGCAGACGTAAAAGAGCAACGGGCTAATGAACATAAAAAACAAGCTGCTGCAATAAAACACCTGGAGATAAACATATAGTTCTAAACAAGAGGATGACACCCCTGGTGAGGTGGAATAGAATTTCATAAAAATAACGAAAATTTTAATGGATTTCATTTTATTAAATTAAGTGGACTACAGTGTGTGATTTAGCACATATTAATGCACTGTAGCAGTTTTAATATATTGTAACGTGTTTTGCGTTACTGATCCCACTTCTGACACCAATGTANAGTGTAAGTGCAAGAAAAAGGAACAATTTGTTGCATTATTAATGGACTGTGTTCTACATAGACATTTTAATATGGCTTACAACAGGATGCTTAAATACAGAGATTATTTAAACCTAACACGAAGAAAGTAATGGGAGGCTGGAGAGATACTGCATAAAGAGGACTTCAAAAATTGTAATACTTGCCAAATATTATTAGGGTGATAAAATTAAGGAAGATATCATGGTCAGGCACGTAACAAGCATGGGGGGTGAAGAGAAATGCATGCCCACTCACGCTCTCTCTCTTTCTCCCTCACACACACCCACACATGCATGCACGAACGCCTGCTCACACTCTCAAACACACACACACACACACACACATGCCCGCTCACGCTCGCTCGCTCTCTCTCTCTCACACACACACACACACATGCATGCACGAACGCCTGCTCACACTCTCAAACACACACACACACACACATGCATGCCCGCTCACGCTCGCTCTCTCTCTCTCTCTCACACACACACACACACACATGTATACTGTACACAAACAGTTCTTCCAGTTTGTTCAAAACTCACCTTCAGGTATTCAACGATGACAATATTAGGCACAAAATTAAGCATATTTTGTTCGCCACATCCAGATGGCATTCTGATCAGATTAGCAAGGTTTGGTATGCTTGGTCCAAGTATATCACCTAGAAATATAAAGGAGAATATCAGTTACAGCATTTCTGTTATGTAAACATAAGTGATACAGTGAAAAGAAATAAATTTGAAGAGTGTTATCATGTGTGATGTTACACTGTGTAGTCCAACAGAAGTTTGGAGGAATGTACTGCCTCCATCTCTGGGGCTGAAGAGTAAGCCAATCAGTAATGGCCTACATGTAGTCACAGCCAAGAATACTGTATGCCTCGTAGTCACCACTGTAAGAACCTAATACAGTTCTGCAATTCATTACAATAAGGCTGTGTTTAAGTATGTTGTTACAATTATCTGTTTATTTCAATCTCTGTGATAAAAATACTGTGGCATGTAAACCAACTGCTAGGCAATGACCTCAAAATAAGCAGCTATACAACAGCCAGTGCTAAGTAATGGCTCTGTAAACAATAACAGTTACTAGCAATGGCTGAATAGTGATCATGTGGGCATCCCAAGAGATGTGAACGCAACAGAGAAACGTTCTTTTCCATGTGGTCCATGCTGAGACATTATAAGCAGGACAAGTCTGGGTAGCATAAGATGAGTACAAGAGGCATGATCTGCTTTGCAAAGCCTGGACTGACAGAAGACTTGTATATAGTGCAAAAGGAAGAATTTTCAATCACATGCTATATGTGTGTGATACATACACCTGACAAGGCAAAGAGCTAATCCCATCCTCTAAACAGAAAGGATGTTACATAAGGGTTCAGTTAAAAAATCTGATTGTAAGCCTCAAGGGGTCTGTCACCAAGATGAACTGATGGGCAGTAATCCACCAGCCATAAAGTAACCCTGACTCTGACCCTGATTTCAGTCATTCAGTCAGTGGAGTGGAGTGAGTTAGTTGGTTGGTGAGTGAGTGAGTGAGTTAGAGGACTGCTGTAGTTCAGTCCTTGTGAGCTGGTGTTATTAGACGCTGGTACCTGAGGCACAGGGACTGTTAAGGAACTGAGAAGAAAGGGAACATCTGCTGTTGGAAGCCATTACCAGAGGCTGAGTAGACTTATGTGCTTGAGTGAACTGTAAAGTGTGTGAATTAGCAATAGCACTACAGCTACTTGTGTTCATGAGTAGTGTGTAAAAGTGTTCAGTAAATCCAGTTACCAGTCTGAACCCTGTATATTGTCACTCAATTATTACTTACAGTGGTCAATAAACTGCAAGAAAAATATATTTCCAATAGAAGAAAGCAGCTCTTGCTCAGTGGGAATATGCCAGGATGAAAAATAATAAAACAGATTCTTACAATGGACTGAGAAGATGCACAGTATACTGTACATCATTCTAAAGCATCACCAATACATATACTGAAACACATGAGGTGGGTAATGCGAAGCTATAATTAATAATTTGTGGATTCTTTAAGTCCTGCAGTTAATCCACAAAGCCAACAACTGAGACCCTACTGTATAATTTTCTGTGATACATTCTGAGATAGCAGACCAGCAAATTACATTTTAAACTCAATAACAAAAAGAATGACTTTCTGTATACAAAGACTGCATATAACAAATATTTGGCTAGATGAAGAGTTCTATCTTCTCAGATTAAAGACCATGTAGTATGTAAAAATAAAGTTTCCCTGTGCTTATGTAATTAAGCACTAAGCCATGAAGGCGTATGGGGGAGTGGATGCATAGATCCATATTTTCTTGACCTTGGCATTAGGTGGAGGTGAATGGTCAGCTTCACGCCCCTACCGCTTTAGCCCCAGGGAAAGAGTCCACAGTATTTATTTGATAGGAGGTTTGGTGGACCCTAGAGCTGACGCTTCTGAGCAATACATCATGTCCATCGTCAGGGCTGAAGAGCAAGTCCAGCAAAAAACCAGCAAGAATCTGGCAGCAAGCAGAGCAAACCACATGTGGGAAAATACAGGATATAATGGCTAGAAGGGAGCCTGCAACCTAACCACTCAGCTCGCACTGGCTATTACTGAGAAACAAAGTGATAACAGAACAGTCTCTAAGCTGGGCTCTGAAAAGGGCAGCTTATGCCACCTTCAGACATGGTAACATGGGAGAGAAGTCATAATGTTGTGCCCTGATATGGGTCAATGACTGTACGCACACCCTATCGGACGTCCGTGGATATCTTTTAACCTGTGTGGTGGAAAACATGCTTGCATAAGGGGACCTACAAAAAACTCAACGTCTCAAAACAACAATAACAAAGTAATGTATAATAAAAAAAAATACATCAGACAACCTATCAACACACATACAACCTTCGATTACACCCATGCTGTCAACTTCCTACAATTTAACTGCCCATACTCTACTAACCCTACATAGCACAAACCAACACTTTTTATTTTTCTTTTCTTAACCACCACTGAACCAGAATCTGTACTCTAACAATCAATCAGTGACCCAACCACGGGCACCCCTCTAAAGAATCTTCTGAGAGTGACTTCCCATAATCCTTCAGGGAGTGGATTAGACATTTCTATGATTTATGTAGGCAGATGATTCTGAATTATTATAAGGTTCATATGACAACAAGACATCGGCAGCAGTGTCCTCTAACACTGAGATGTGTGAGACAAGAAGTATCTACAGCCGAGTGAACAGAAATCACTAGAAGTGGCATAACATAAGAGTCCTTCCATAATCCCTGCTTCGTGTTGTATCTTTTTAACTGATACAATTATAGAATAATAATCCGTCTCTCTCTAACAGTACCTACAGAGACACATAACTACTTTGAGACAGTCTGTAGATAGACCAACACAGAGAAATGGTGATGAAATTATGTAACTTTACTGTGAGGCTTATGCAAATCTACTTCCTAAATTTGATTCGTACAATTAATTTCTTCTGAATTTAATACATTCAATTTTATATTCCTCCAATCTTTCTGAACATATGTTGTTAATGTGGTGATATTCAAATACCTACTGTTAGACTATATTATACTCCATTCTCTATGGGATGAAGGGTGCAGTTCACCATCAGTTAGTAATGTAGATTGTTATGCCATCATTAGGAAGTACAAGGACTCATTTTCAACTTACTGTTAGTCTTCATATGCTAGTTGCAAACTCAAACACAGAACTTCTAATATATAGGGTTGCTTACAAGGTATATTGTGCTGCGATATATAGGGCATATGAAATTAAATGTGGCAATGATCACATACCCAGTGCTGAAACAGTGTTAGTGTGGTGATGCTCACATACCCAGTGCTGAAACTATATTAATGTGGTGATGCTCACATACCCACTGCTGAAACTATGTTAGTGTGGTGATGCTCACATACCCCCTGCTGAAACTATATTAGTGTGGTGATGCTCACATACCCAGTGCTGAAACAGTGTTAGTGTGGTGATGCTCACATACCCAGTGCTGACTATATTAATGTGGTGATGCTCACATACCCACTGCTGAAACTATGTTAGTGTGGTGTTGCTCACATACCCAGTGCTGACTATATTAATGTGGTGATGCTCACATACCCAGTGCTGAAACAGTGTTAGTGTGGTGTTGCTCACATACCCAGTGCTGAAACTATATTAATGTGGTGATGCTCAAATACCCACTGCCGAAACTATGTTAGTGTGGTGATGCTCACATACCCACTGCTAAAACTATATTAATGTGGTGATGCTCACATACCCACTGCTGAAACTATATTAGTGTGGTGATGCTCAAATACCCACTGCTAAAACTATGTTAGTGTGGTGATGCTCACATACCCCCTGCTGAAACTATATTAGTGTGGTGATGCTCACACACCCGGTGCTGGAATTATGTTAGTGTGGTGATGTTCACATACCCACTGCTGAAACTATGTTAGTGTGGTGATGCTCACATACCCACTGCTGAAACTATGTTAGTGTGATGATGCTCACATACCCACTGCTGAAACTTCCACCATATCTGAACCTGCAACTATGTTCTTTGGCACATCTAGAGTCACAGTTGTTTGGAATGGCTGCTTATTTCTGAGGTCCACAAATATAGCCTTATTGTAATACTGGGTTTCCCCTTCAGGCTGGAACAAAGGGCAGTAATAAACCCATTAGTGTCTTTCATATAGTGCACATGTCATTTTATGATACATATTTGCATAATTAATTCACAACAGATGCCTACTTTAAAAGTGGAAAATAAGACAGGAACTGTGTAAATAAACAGTGTCACACAAACATAATGCACACCAGAATTTTAACATTTTGCTGCAGAGTAATATGTTCTTAAAACTTATGCAGCAGACAGTTTTAGTATATGAGAATTCTTGATGCTACAGCTGCTGCATGTATTCAGAATATCTTGTTCTTCTTCCACCATTTTCGCTTTACATGGATTGATGGACAAATCTCTTAACAGTATTTAAATTTCATCTATAACTGCCCTGAATTTGAACTTACACTGTGAAGAATGACACCGGGCTACAATGAACTCATGAAATTGCTGAGTAATTTAATACAAAGAGTGATCTTACAAAAAAGAAAGGTGATGAACAGCTGGGCAAGATATTAGACGAGGAAGTAGAGAAATTAGATGTAGCACATACTTCATAAAGTCAATCAGAGCACAATGTAATTAATATTAAATTTGTGCAAAGCAGCTAAATAAGTGTTTTGATATAGAAAGGCTCTATTGATTTTCAAATATACATGGAAAGATTGCTTTGGTGTGGCACAGAAACACGAAACATAAGTTGGATAGAGAGAAGCACACTGATGGCTGAACAATGACCCAAAGACTTGGAGTAACATGGCTGAATTCAGAAATTTGGAAATTAAGAGGGACCAGGGGAGGATTTAGTAAATGAAACCATTCCCTTTGTTTGTGGGAGGCAGGAATTTGGTCATTCCTCAGGTTTCCTGCCTCCTCTGATCTCTTTTATCATGTCTGTGGCTGGGTACCATAAATGGCTTGGAGAGAATCCCACATCTATAGTAAAGTTATTTGGGCTGCAGCCACATCTCAATGGCTTCGTTCACTGAACGGTCTATATAACCTGTCTTTCTTGCCAGTACTGTGGTGTCCTTGTAAGCAGAACATCTGGTAAACTTCAAGTACTGGCCTGGATGGAGGCAGGTTATTCCTTTGACACATTGGTGTGTTCTTGCCAAACTACATGACATCACATCCCAGAGGAAAGTCAATCTGGATCATCTCATTTTACTTGAATATTCTTCCTAAAATAGATATTTATTCAGAAATAAACTGATTTACCTTCACAAGTAGTTTCTTCACCACAGAATCACCAGCCAAAGGGCTAGAAGCAGTTACTTTTATCGTGATATGACCGAGCTTCTTTGGTGTTATCATGAAGGATACGGAAGACCCACTGTTAGCCCTGACAGACACTCTTTTTCGCCGATACAACTCAAGTTCTGGTGGAAAGACAAGTATAATTATTAAGAAGAAAACATCTTCTCACCTCCAGACAAACTGTTGTATTTCTTAATAGAATATTATGTTAAAACTTATCATTATTGCATTTGTTGGTGCCAGTCAGATTAATAGGATGGTTTCTGGATCAGGAGAAAGACAAATTGAAATAATCAGAACAGTATTCCATCACATCCTGTGGCACACTCAGTTCTTCATTCTATAGAAAGTGTAATTACTCATACTTTTCACCCAACTGACCCTATGAGACACATATGAATATATTTACTATGACATTAACCTAAATTTCAGAGGAACCTGCCCTGAAGATGGGGGCAACAGGTTCCTTGAAAACTTTGGTACCAATCTACCAAACTATATGGCATCACACAACAGAAAACAATTTTTATAACTGCAACATTTATTTTCTGTTGCTACATCTAGATTTGGGCCTTAGCTTCCTCTACTGTAGATATTTCCTTTCCTACATTTATATCAAGATAAGCTGTGGGGCTGCTTGACTGAAAGGTCATTCATAGAATAAAACACACACAAACACAAAGGGAAGCAAAAGTGAACATACAGATGCCACTTTTGTTATCTGTGGCCTATTTTAGTGTCATGATGAGCATCAATGCTCTATCCACAACCACAGCAGAAGCTGTCACACGTGCTCAGAGAATTTCATGTGGAGTTTCCCTGACTTGTACTGCCATTTTACTCAGTCATGCCACTTTCCACTCTTTCTTCACAGTGATCAATGTGTTCCCTGTTCTATGCATTTGCAATTTACAGAAATGGAATTCCAAAGTTTAATGAATCACCTGCCCAACAAATGATAAAAATCCAAAGTCATTACCATCTATTAGCTATCACTAAGAAATACTTTTGAGGAAGGCCTACCAATAGTTGATGATTAAGTGCTGAAGGTTTGGAGTTGTATGCAGAGTTCTGGGCAGCATGAATAACTCAATTTCAAAATATTCTGACACTGTATTACACTCAAGATCATTGAATTTCTGGACTTTGTCCATTGTGTGGTATTCTGAAAGAATATATTGTTGTGGAAACAAGACCTGGTCTGGTGAATGAGATCAGCTCTGTCTAACGGATTCAATTCTTTCACCTGATGATGGAAATGGATCCAGTTTCTGAAAACTGTGTTCCTTAAGAGTACCAGCTGATGGGTAATGTCCAGAAACTCTGTAATTCTCAGATGAATAGCATGTGGTGCAAATGGCTTCCCTTTAACCGTAAAAGTAAGCATATGGTTCAAGTGATGAATGTCTTCTTTTTTAATTGTGAGAATGACACAGCATTGAAAATCCATACAGAAAACTTTCCATTAACAATTCTATTTTCTTTAGTTTTGTAAAAATATCTGACCAGACAAGAGATAATACACCCCATAAATATAAAACTGTAAAATTATTCAACTTGGTTATATTTTAAAAGATTTATTTACTCTGATGTAATAGCATGTAGTCTGATGAAAGTTAACTATGATTTATTTCAACCGTCTTCCAGTGCATACACTCATCTATCTCACTCCTCTCTCTCGCACTACATGTTTCGGCACAAAAGTGCCATCTTCAGGTGCTTATTCGATTTACGATAAACTAGTTCACTGCATGCCTTGCCGTCTTCATATTAAAATAACTAAAATATATATTTATCATATA